CACCACCAAAGCAGGTACCCAAAAAGTCGACTTTTTGGGTACCTCCCAGATTTACCATCGGACGTCAGCTCTTGCATGTACCCCGTGACGCGTTGGGTTCTGCGGCCTGTGGGGCCGCAGGGCGCTGCCCATGGTCTAGGGTACATTCAAATGCCACACGTATCGGCGCCCGGACTTGTGCTGAATCGATCGGTTTCTCCCGGCGACCCAACCCATTACCACCAAAGCAGGTACCCAAAAAGTCGACTCGGCGCCCGGACTTGTGCTGAATCGATCGGTTTCTCCCGGTGACCCAACCCATCACCACCACAGCAGGTACCCAAAAAGTCGACTTTTTGGGTACCTCCCAGGAAGCGCTAGAAAATTCTTGGAAAAGCATCCAGCCGAAAACATAACAAAATCTAGACAAAGCCTAGAGCATTCCTAGGAAAATGCCAGAAAAGCCTTTGAAAATCTCATAAACCAACAGAAAACGTGACAAAATCTACGAAAAAGCAAGGGCATTGGCCGGGACCACGCCGCGACCAGCCCGGGATTCGAGCCCAGGACCATTTTGGACCGTGCTTATTTTCCCGCGCGGGTCGAGAGGGTGCCCCAAGATGTAAATCAATTGGGATGGCAGAATCTTGGACAATCCAGGGCACCATCAGGTCGCCATCAGGTCGCTTTCCCGGAGAATTCCGTAGCTTTTAGGACCGGATTTCGTCACTGCAACAAGGGTCCGGAGGGGTAGGGGAGGTAAGGTTTAGGTCTAAGGCCAAGGACTAGGTCTAAGGCTAAGGATAAGGCTAAGGCTTAAGTCTAAGGCTAAGGCTAAGGCCTAGTGCTAAGGCTAAGGCTTAAGCCTACGGCTAACATCGACAGTCACGCCTCACCCCACGGTGTGGGGTCGGCGGATTTGGTCGGGGGTTCACGATTGGATGGTCTTTTGGCTTTCCGATTTCACCCTGATTTTGCTGCATCGGCCTAGACCCATCGGCCTTACAGGGAGAGAGCGACGAATCTGCCACCCCAAGAAGGGCCAAGCGACGATGACGGGGACCAAGGGGCCGCACCATGGGGCCCCAAAGAAATCCCGCCCAGATGCCGGTTCTTGGCTTTGTAGAAGATGGAGACCCACCTATGTAAGTAGACGGACAAAGGACAAATGAACATGACAATACAAAACACCACCGATGGGGTGATTTTGCCGAGTGATCTGGCTTATCTTGGCAGATTTCACTGCCTTAACCGTCAGAAGCACTCCAAGCGTACAAGTCTTGACAGTTTCGGAGAAGAACAACACCCTAGATGGGAGAACCTGACAGTGCAAAAACCAATTTGGATCAACGCTGTGGATTTTCCACCATCTCTTGCGCCCTTGCACAATCGCTGACCTTTGTTGCATGTCTAATTGGCAGTGGCGAGAAGCGCCAGCGCCGGAGCGATGACCCGCGCGACCGGGGGCACATCGCGCTACGACGGTTCCAGTCACATCCGTCCGAGTCAAGTGAGTCATTGCCATGTCTTGGGTCTGTCCGTTCTTACCTGTAACAGTCAGTAAAACAAGGCAAATCACGATATTTTTGAACTGTCGGCCTGTAGCCTAACCATCATCCACTGAGGCTCTGGTAATAGGATAGACCCCAAGCCATGTCAGTTTAGTTCCTCTCCTTCCCATTCGCAGGGGGCCAACACTGCCCGTTCGGCCGGGTGACGCCGAACCGACGCAGAACAGACGGCGGGGGAGGTGCGAGAAAGAGTGGAGTTCAGCAGCTGGGCACCCGGCACCCGAAGTGCAAAGGTCCCATGTACTAGCAGGTCAGTTGCAGGTGATGATCTTCGCCTTTGGGACTCAAAGAAACATAAGACACCTTCAAAGTGGGAAAGGTTTCAAGCTTGGAAAGAAACACATCGGATGAGAGGTTAGCAGGATTTGACTCAGAAAATCAGTCTGTTTCTTTGTGACAGGAGCGACAGGCGGCCGACTTTGGGGTTGGGAGCATTTTGTGAAGTCCAGAGGATGAGGCAGTTCTGAGGTTGCTGCACTTTGCCCAGATAATAGGGGGAACCTATTTCAGCTATTTCCTACTCGTAGCTTGATTCCCAAGCGACCATCCATGCACAGATCAGCTGATCGGTGCCAGTTTCGATCAGACATGCTGACCATCCATGGGCGAATCTGGGGTCCGAAAAGGTCCCAACTAACAGACTTGCAGGGACCTTTGGAGACCTTCAGGGTACAGGGGCCCTGAGTGAAAGAGTTCTGCCTGTCTACACACAGGATGGGCGTGGCCAGGAGGTGTTCCTGAAGGAACATGCAGCCATACTCTGACCTTTAAGATTCATCATGCCCTCAGAATCCAGATGTTCAATTGGAAAGGGTTCTGAGGGTCGAGACCCCTGCTATGGAGGGTCCAAAGGTGTTTGGGTGGCATGCAAATGCAGGTGATGAAGTGGGCTGATTCCTGCGTAAAAATCAGATGGGCCGCTGCTACTGAACACGACCGAACGCTGGCCAAGGGCACCCCCCAATACATGGGCTTCGTATGATTTTGTGATGTTTTGCGAGGAGTTTAATTTAGCATGAACATATCTCTAACCTGTGAGGCCTCGTCGCTCATGTTACTACCTCGATTCTGGCTCCAGCGTTTTCAGCGACCATGCGAGACCAGAAATAGTTCTACACCTTCCCAAGTCGACCCACGACTGGAGCGTTTCAGGTGTCCAGATCGCCCGTCTCTTCACCGCGCTTCACCGCGTCCGCTTCACCGCCATGCCGAGCGACCACTACGATGAGCTGGGCTCGGCGGCCTCGGGCGCCTCGGGCGCTGCGATGGAGGATTCAGAGACTGGTCCGCGCATGTGGAGATGGAATTGGGGAACCGAGATGGGGACGTGATGTGACGGAAGTAAAACAGAGGGGAATTTGATGGAGTTGCTTGTCACCCATGATTGATGGTCGATGAAATGAGCCATTTGCTCTTAACAGTGAATCCGATCTTTATGCTTGTTTTTCATGTTTGTTTCTTCTTTGGGGGTTGACAGTAAGAAAAGATTGCACCGCAACAGAGATGCCGCCAAAAGAGATCGTGCAAGGTGTGGTCTATGTGAGGTATACGAGGGTATACGAGGCTCCACAGAAAGAGTGAGGTCTGAAATCACTGATTTATTTGAAGTTGCAGGTTTGGAAGATGAGAGCATCCTTGACTCTATTGACTCTATCAGCAGAAAGAGATGCCAGTTTGGGTGTAGCCTAGTAGCAGTGGCATGTGTGCAATTAGCTGCTGATGGAATGTGTTTTGATGTGTTTTGTAAGGTCGGTCCTATGTCTATGCCGACATATGGAACCAACAGATCTTCATGATGGTGATCCGAGGGTCAAAGGCATTTTCTGTGCAACCAGAAGTGGGTTGGTCTCAAAAGAGGATCGATTCACCCTAGCGGGTGAACACAACGGGTGCACACCAACCCCCGGTTTCACGGACCCCACCGGGGTCCAGGCTTCGTCAGGCTTCGCTCTCAAAGGGGTCTGTCGAAAGGGTCGGCGGTCGGTGTTTGGTCTCACCGGGTCAGGCGTTTTGGAAAATGACAGGCGCCTTGTCGATATGCCTGTGGTGTCTTGGGAGGAGTCCAACGCTGTCCTTTTTGGGTGTTGTGAAAAACCATTGATGTTACAGTGTGTCAGTCACAGGGCTGGAACAAGTTCTTTGTTTAGGTGTCTCATTTGCAACTCCTAAGGAGACGGAATTTCAGACGGAGGCCGCGTCCTCGGGCGGCGAGTGCGTTTCCTTGCGGCGTGTTTTGTTTGGGGTGGACTGTCGGTGGTGAACGAAGCGATTTCAACTCTGTGGGGTCAAGAGATGTAGAATGTGGAAAAGAGTAGTAGGTTGGAGGCCATCGCTATTGGGTTGGAAGCCATCGCTACTAGTTTGGGTTGGAGGCCATCGCTGCTAGGTTGGAGGCCATCGCTATTGGGCTGGAGGCCATCGCTGTCGCTACTAGTTTGGGTTGGAGGCCATCGCTGCTAGGTTGGAGGCCATTGGTATTGGGTTGGAGGCCATCGCTACTAGTTTGGGTTGGAGGCCATCGCTATTAAGTTGGAGGCCATCGCTATCAGGTTGGAGGCCATAGCGCTATTAAGTTGGAGGCCATCGCTATTAGGTTAGAGGCCATCGCTGCTAGGTTGGAGTCCATCGCTATTAAGTTGGAGGCCATCGCTATCAGGTTGGAGGCCATCGCTATTAGGTTGCAGGCCATCGCTATTAGGTTGGAGGCCATCGCTGCTAGGTTGGAGGCCATCGCTATTAAGTTGGAGGCCATCGCTATTAGGTTGGAGGCCATCGCTATGAGTCTATTTTTGGTTATTTAATATTCTTATAAAGGTAAATTACAAAAAGGTCGAAGGTTTGTCACCTGAAGCATGTTCCTTCGGCTGGTGGTTTTGGAGGGTTTGTGGTTTTAAGTCTATCACATACAGGCTTTGGACAGAAGCTGAGACAGAAGTGTCCCAGAAGCTTGGTTGTGTCAATTTGTGCTGACATACCTGTAGAAGAAGTACCTCTTCACTCCATGTGGGTCCTCCCATGAACCCCGGAATAAGAAGGGGAACCGGTGGATTGAAGGATGTTGGAGTCATAGAGTTGTAGGACCAGAGAATGGCACATCTTCCGATCTGTGTTTTGCAGGGCGAGATCTGTGGGTTTGATGAAGGTGTTATTCTGTGCCTTGTGTGTGAGAGAAAGGATTCTATCGACTTTATGAAGGGGTCACAGAAATGTGATAGGGGTTCTAGAATTGGTCTTGAGGGCAAGGGATGACAGAGGTATAGAACAACTGAAAAAAATGTAAATATAAACATGTACGAGTATCCAAATGCATATAAATAATATACAAACACACACACATATATATATATATAATCATATATAAAATATATATATATATGGTACCCCCCAAAAAAACCAACCCAAAGTCATATTTCGCTGATATTTGCAGTAAAAGTCGCATATTTTGGGCACCATTTTTTCTTAGTAAAAAATAAGGGTTGTGAATATACATTAAACACATATTTTATAAAATTTTGTAAGGGTTGTGTCTGCAAGAGCGTAGCTAGAAATCGAACTGGTTGGGCAATAAAAAGGGGTTCTACTTGTCAGCCTCAATAGCCTTTGCAGAGTCTATGTCAATAGCCTTTGTTTTGAGAGTCTAGTCACGGTGCTTCACTCACTTGCACTCGCAACCTTCTGCACGTCGCTCGCTGCACACGCTGTCACTCGCTGCTTTCGGTCTTCTCTTGCCTATTCTTTGCTGTGACACCTTGTCCCGTCGGACCTTCAGACGTCACAGGTCGCAGAAACGGTCCAGATCGCAGATGAATCTCCGCGCGTCCCTGTCTACATGTGTCTACAACTCTCAGTTCCATGAGAACATCTCAGAAACTCTCAGTTTCATGTCCGCCTTAGACACAAAGTCTTTGTGCAAGAACATCCACGCAAACCGTCCCCACTCCAGCCTCCCACTGGGGCACACAGTCCGGAGACCGCCAGACCCGCACAGGTCCAGGAGATCGAGTATTCGGATGACGAGGAGCCGCGATTGAACTCGGGGCGAGGGAGGCAGCCAGACCTCATCATGGCGCCATGGCGCCGCCAGACCTCATGTTGCTTCATTGTTCTTTGTGGATGGCGCCAGGTGTGATTTACCTCCAGATCACTCAAAATAGGTGAAAAAGTGCACTTCCAGGGCCTGCCGTTCTATTTTTTTTGGGGGGGGGTTGATTTGGTGCGATGCATTTGTGGGTAAGTTGGAGAGATAGACCGACCCACGACGCGAAAAACCCGTTCCGCGGCTCAGGGTTCCAGCGATTGCTGTCCGTCGACTGTTTGGTTTCTGGCTCGAGGTTCAGCCGCATGTTGAGCCCAAATCAATGAGATTCCAGTACCATGGATGCCCATTGAAGATTCTCAAGTACCATGGATGCCCGTTGAACATTTTGAGATGACAATCCCGTGTCTGCCCAATGACATTCAAGTACACCCAATGTCGATGACTAGACTTGGTTTGATCTTATTTGTATTTGTTCAGTTGTGGGATGTTGAACAGTGAACCGACCCATACAGAAGTTTTGGTTGAGTTCCAGGACTTAACAATAGTCTGTAACAGGATGCTTCGTGAGTGATGGCCTCCTTTCACAATGAGAATCCCATTCCTGACGAATCCCATTCCACCTTTCGGGTCATGCTGGTCGACCACGGCAGCTCCCTGATGTTCTTCGAACGTGACGCCAGGTACCCCAAAAGCCGCAGGAAGTCTTCAGTGAGACTCATGCCTTTGGGGAGACCTTTGGTCTCCTGCAGCTATTGCACCTTGGACTGACCTTTCCGTTGCATCGGGTGCATCGGGGTTTGCTCGGTTCCTCAATGGTGTCCGAGCGCGAATGTGGATAGGGGTTCAAGGCCTTTTCAAGCTGTGGAGATTGGATCCACATTGATTCTGGCTGATGGATAGATACCAAGTGTGATGGATCCCACTTCTTGAACAATGGGGCGAAAGCTGTGCCTGCAGAATGGCGAAAGTACGAGGCAGGTCTCGAAATATATTTGCATGGCCGTTAGAAGACCAATGAAGATCAATACGAAGATGGAGTTTGCACTATCAGATATATATATATACAGTATATGTGGAAATTGCCATGAGTATATCTGACTGTGAGTCAAAGCCTTCCCACAAACCATGGGGGGTTGACATCCCTTGCTACAAGGGATCTGTTGATTTTCGGGGGTCAACCAGCTCAAGGTGCCCGGGTTTTGACTCACAGCCATATGAGTGTGCATTTAGGAGGTGAACTTATTTGGCGAAGTGGAAGGTGGAGAACTTGCTTGCGCCTTCGAACACCGCATCTTGACGGTGTTCGCCCCCCTGCCTGATGCGCTTCAAGGAAGCCTGCACGGTGGCCGCCTCCGGGCGCGATACGTGATCATTGGAGTGTGGACAAACGCATGCGTACGTTCGGTGCATCCAAGTGCTGGATAAGTATCGAACAATATCGAACATCATTTATGAGTATGACACTGTATATTTCTTATGATATTTTTATTCTGATTGCTATAGATCCTAGACCTCTGAGAATTGTAATTGGGCTGCTTATTATATCACTTTATCGCGCATTTAGACCCAGTTTATGTTGATATTCAATAATCTCCTAATGGTGCCTCTGGCAGGATAGGTGACAGGGTAGATGGAACAGTCATAGCACCGAATGAATGAGTATGAAACGGGAGGGTCGGTGTTTATTTTTGTTGAATTGCAATTCTCTGTGCCGGATAGTCCGACAAGCCGACTAGCAGGATAGTTCGTCCTGCAAGTGGGACTGAGATGGTGACGGAAATTCGCAGGTTCCACATTGATGCCACGTTCGAAGGATTAGAAACAGGTCGGTTTCTGAGTCTTTAATGAGGAATCGGCCACCGGTGGGCCGCTGCGAACTGGTGGGTGGTGACCGCCGCCGACCTGAGGCAGTCAGAGGTCGTGGTCTTGAGACAATCCTTTGAGCCGCCTGGAGGTGAATTGATGTTACCCGACTTTGGAGGTCCCCGAACTGAAATGGTGTCTAATTAAAAGCTATTTGAGGGTTGTGACACGTACTGGGTGGGCAAGGAAGCAATTTGCTAGACATTTCTGAAACTATGACTTCCATGGCAGGGTGGTTGTTGGATGGACAGATGCGAAGAACATCCCGGGTTCTTTGAGCCAGGGTCATGCAGGGTCCATTTTCGAAGGCGGATTCACGATGGTGAACTTCTCATCAGGTGGAGTGTGGAAGATTTCGCAAAGGGCCGGTGATGAGGGTAGCGGATGGGGGCCACGGGAGCCAGAGACCCTCCTTTTTGACTAGACGACGCGAAGGATAGGAACCAGCAGGTTGTTGTTGTTGTTCTTGTTGTTGTTGTTGTTCTTCTTGTTGTTGTTGTTGTCAAACCCTGTTCCAAAGGGTACTTTCTCACGCACCTGCACGACAACTACTGTAGCATGCAGGGGGCAGAGAGTACTTGCAAAGCTCTGCCCAACGAAGCTCTTTGCAATAGTCCGAGAAAGCGGAAGCTGATCACTTCCGTGTACCCGCATAACTTTATTAATTACTCCGGTATTTGCATTGAAGAGTTACTGCACTTTGGAACAACACTGAATTTAGGCTCATATGAGCTCGTTTCTGAGTGTGACTTCGCAGCATCGTCCCATTTTGGTTTGCTGTGTGAACATGTGTGAACCAATTTTTGGGCGCCGTCTCAATACTCCCGTAGTTGGAGTGATTTCCTCTGAACTGCGTCATTACTCGAATCTCCAATGAATTGCGGATTACCATTGAACTTGATTATGCTGCAGAGCTTCTAAACATATGCCTGAGTTCCAGCGTGAACTCACCCTCATGCATGCAGTTCATGTATACTATATACAGCTCTATAGCTTTCTAACCCACTTTCCACAAGTTATTTTTCTCTCTTTCGGGCTGCCTCTTCTCTTCGTTGCTTTTCTCTCCTTTGTAAAGGCGTATTAGGTGTAAGACAGGTTGCGCCGCACATGCACGACTTCGGTTGTGTGTATTCTACACACAGTTCTTGAGGGAACAACACCTTAAGTTTCATTCGACACTTGTGTGCTGGGAAGCGGTGTCTCTTCTTTTTCCTCTTCTCTTTCCGGTTCTTGTTTTTTCTCGCTTGTGTAAAGGCTTGTTACAGTAGGTTGTGACAGAGGTGTTGAACTGCGTATTTTCGTTCCTGTTTCTTCGTTTCTCTTTCTCGGTTCTTTCTCTCCCCCCCTGTTCCAAAGGGTATTTTCTCACACACCTGCACGACAATTCGCATGCAGGAGGGCAGAGAAGACTTGCAAAGCTCTGCCCTTCCGTGTAATTGCATAACTTTTGAACTTCAGCTGGTGATGCACAAACAGTTACATGTTGTTCTCGGCCCCTTTTCAGGTTTGTTTCCAGCTTCGAGGTCGTTCTTGCGCTAATGCGGTATTGCATAAAAGAGTGAATGCTTGGAACAACACTGAATTTAGGCTCATAAGAACTCTCTTCCAAGTGTGTGCGTGTGTGAGATTGAGTGATGCACACATCTGCACGGAAACATTTGACAGATAGGCTGAAACAGATCGACGCGTGAGTTCCCTTTGCATTGAAGTATGGGACATCTTTTTTGAGCACTTGTGCATTGGCCTTCAACTACCAATTTTGATATGTCTTCTATGTTATTTTGTTGCCACCCTTGGCCCTGACCGCCTTGGTCTCCTTCCCAGGATCCTCAACAAAGCCATGGGCGACGACAAAGGGATGGTGGGCGATGCCATCTACTCCAGCCTTGCAGGGGCATTGATCTCCATTAAGGACTTTCCTGGGTCGATGCTTACGGCACAGAACGGAAGCTCACGGATGCTCGTGGTGCACCGTTCCGAAAAGCTTCGGTGAGCCTCTAGTTCGGCTCGTGGAGCCTCTCCTCCGAAATCGAATGTCACTGGTTGTCCCAAGATGGTAATCCGTTTGGGCTTGTTGGGCATCGTTTCCGCCAGAACTTTGGCTCGCCTGGTCTGAAGGAACAATACTCCAACACCTGGCTCTGGCTCTGCTCAGTCATGGTGACGGGTGTTTGGCGGTTCTGACATGTTTGGCGGTTCACCACACCCCTTCGTTCCACGTTTTTCACCTGTTCGAATGGGTCCACTCGCCCATCCAAAAGCGGCGCAGAGTCGAATCAGCATGGCAATCGTTTGCAGCGAGAGGCGAAGGAAACACGTGCCACCGATGCTCTTTATGCTGTGTTTTCTTCATGGGAAAACCTCGAACTGACACGTTTAGGATGTTTTTTTGGGGAACTGATCGCAAGTGTGGTGCCTTTCCACATCTTTAGCTTGGTTCGAAGTCGAAGCGAGGATAAAAACAATTCAGCTGATGATGGGATTTCACCAGACTGGTGCCAGTCGCAACACTGGGATTGAGGATCCTGTATGGCGAAACGACCATCGGAACAAACGTGTGCTGAATGGTGGTGACCATGGATTTGTGAGCCATGTAAGCTTTGGGACAGATATTTGCCGCTGTGCTTCATCAGGACAAGTTCAGCACACCACGTTCCTTGATGTCTATGCGCCTCTACAATGGCTTCCGATTGTTGTGTGACAAGTGTGAAGACCCCGAGGAGATGAAAAGCTCCTTGGATTGACGGAAGGATTTCAGGGAGTGTTTTTATTTTTCTGCCGCCCAATGGAGTGGTTACCCGTGCAGGGTGCTTTTTGGAAACTGTTCATGAACACCATTGCATGCTTGCATGGCTATATGATTTATAAATTTTACAACATTATATAACATGTATGGGAATCTACGCACAGAGCATACTCCTTCCTGGACACAGATACGATCTGGGTTGACATCGGACAAAGCATTGAGCGGTTTTCGGCTGGTTCACCCCACCGACTGCGGACGGTTCTCCATGCAGGGAGCGAGCGAGCGAGTGAGTGACAGATGATCTTGAGGTCGAAAGAACAGGCAAGATATCAGAGGCTAACACAAACCTGAACCATCCTGTCTGGGTATGTTTGGGTGTCCTGGGCTGGAGATCCCTAAGCAGTGTAGGGTAGTCCATCCATACCCTGACAGGATGGTCCTAGAATACACGACAATTAATTGGCCTTCCCGAAAAGGTGTGAATGGAAACAGTTGGGTATTACAGTAGGGGCGTTTTCCTGTTTTCTCTCTTCAATGATTCTTCGGCTCGTCAAGACGCCAAACCTTTGTTTTCGGCAGATCTCTGTGCGTCGACGTAGGGCCGACGGTAGGCTATGTCGAAACCTTGGCCTTTCGACACTTGGGCTATGAGATCACCGAGATGCGTGTGGAGGCTGTGAAAGACGCCTTTGGCCACTTAGCCGATGAAGTGTGTGAGCATGGCACGAGGTCAGAGGAGGCACAAAAAGCTATGCTTTCACAAGGATTTGGCATGGCCAGTAACCCAACAATACCTCTGCGGCGGAACTGCGAAACTGCCTGGTCTCAGAGTAATTCTGCGTGGCGAGTTGGTCAGGCCGCTGCTTGCGTTGTTTCTGGGAAGAATGTTTATTCGGGGGAAAGGACGTCTTATACGTAGAGTAGTCAATTAGAGAAGTGTTCCGTTTTCGGGTGCGTTTTATTAGTCAGTCGGATTGCCAATGGGACAGGGCGCTCCGAGCTCCGAGCTCAGGCCGCCACTCGCTACCGCTCGCAACCCGTGCGTGTTCGCTCGCTCTGAGGCGAACTCCTGCAGCAGAACGCCACGGACTCACCGCCTGGCAGCATCGCCGCCTGGCGGCAAGTGCTCAGCTACACGGGCTCCGCCTACAGCTTCGTGAGCACTAGCGGCCTGGACAGGAAGATGGCGGGAGGATGGAGCATGTGTGTGGGTGACTGGCGGCGGGGTTTTCACTTGTGGAACAAGTGTTTGTGAATCATTTGCCGAACAATTCAGGTGATTTCATGACATCTGCGTTTTCTGCAAATCAACTTACCATTACCAGCATGTCTTTTTCTGCTTGGGACTTATGAAATCTGCAGTTTGCAGCTTGTTTTCTGTTTTATTTCACCAGCAGGTTTGTTGATCCGAAATGAGCTGTTCAGCATTCGCCGATCCCAGCGGCTCCATTCGCCCAAGGCTTTTGATCCAGTTTCATTCGGAGTCCATTTTTGCCACCGTGGGAAATGGAAGAACGAAGAGGAGAAGAACGAATTCGGCGAAGAACACCACGCAACACAGAAATCATGAATTCATGACAAAAAGACAATCTAAGAGTACCTAAGACGATAAGACAACATCATTAGTGAAACAAAGAACGCCACATATAATCTGCACTTAAATTACATATCGCATACACAACAATATCACATATATACACATGGCACATTACACACTGACAGGGTACCCCGTCCCCGACGGCTGGGCTTCCGTTTGCCGTGCAAAGAGAGCACGCATGTTTCGGCCGTCGCAGGTGTCGTGTTCGGGGGTGGTATTGGTGTCATGATGTGTCATGTTTTTTTTCTTCTTTTCCCTTGCAAGTACGATCGAAGAACATGGCTCCGGGGTTCTCACACGCGGCCAGCGTTTCTGCGCTGCAAACCCGGTCATGTGGGCTCCCCCCTACCAAAAGGTTCCAACTGGTGTCCAAAAAGGCTCATCACTTCAACCTCAGGTTCGCGTACGCCCCCGAGGCTACGGGGAGCGGCTGAAAGTGATCCGTGAGGATTGGGACTCCGTGCAGTCAGCGGCGGAAGCGGACGACGAGGACGAGGCGGTGGTGAGGAGCTTCGGAAAGATGTGCGCCTTCAGTTTCTCGGGCTGTATTTTATTGAAAGGCTTGGTCCAGACACAGTCTGACCAAGCGGATGGGGGTTCATTGGGGTGGGCGCGAGTTGGTTTTGAGTCGGAGGGCAAACCCGCGCAAAGTGTTAACGTTTCAACGATTTTTGGGGTCTTGGGGTCCTGGGATGATTTTCAATCCCTCCATCCAGCAGCCATGGTTTGGTGGATGCCCAAAATGTATAATACAATAATATAGGAGTTGGTTCTTGTTTCTTGAAATAAGAGCTCCACTTCCGTCGAATGCAGAACGAGAGCATGATGTATCTTGTGTGAACTCGATTCAACAGCTTGGAATTCTAGTCCCTTCCCTCCTGTCATCACTGGCTGTGAACTTTGGCTCGCTTGGTCCCCAGAATTTGACACGTCAATGTCAGTCACCCATTTTTATCTCCTCAAAACGGCATCTTCAGAATCTTCCAGATTGATGCTGTCTCACCTCAGAAAATATAATACTTGGCACCACATACCTGGGGCCTGATGGTCGAGTCTACTTCATTTCATCCTAGCACCACCTGTTCAACTTCAGGTTGTCAGGCTTTTGGTTCGCAAGAACGACGTTTCGACCGTTTTACGCTTCTCTTCAATCCACCTGGCTACACTTGCTATTTCCGGATAGCAAGTGTTCGACGTCAGTTTGCAACCTCGATTCTCAAAGCTAGTCACGAAGCAAGAGGGAGTTGATATTTTTCCGTCTTTAGATGTCTTTAGTTCTGATTCTTCGATATTCTTGAACAGTTTCTCCACTGTTTGAACGCACTGTTTGCAAACTCTGACCTCAACAAACTCCGGTACCAAATCGTTTTCAAACCTCGAAAAGGTCCCGCTTGGACACCGCGCGAGACACCCACCGCGCGCCTGTTGCGAGGCAATCAGGTCATGGGACAAGAGACGGAGAATTGGATGGAAGAACTCCTGGAGGCGCAATTATATAGGGGCTCCTAGCCTTACTACTAGCAGCAAGGACGCTACTAGGTGCTCCTGGCATCGCTACTAGGAGCAAGGACGCTACTAGGGGCTCCTGGCCTTACTACTAGGAGCAAGAAGCTACTAGGGGCTCCTGGCCTTACTACTAGGAGCAAGGACTCTACTAGGGGCTCCTGGCATCGCTACTAGCAGCAAGGACGCTACTAGGGGCTCCTGGCATCGCTACTAGGAGCAAGGATGCTACTAGGGGCTCCTGGCATTACTACTAGGAGCAAGAAGCTACTAGGGGCTCCTAGCATCGCTATA